GACGGGCAATGGCTTTTTTCCATGAGGACGGAAATACTGAGTTCTGAAGGGAGATATTGAAGATAAAAAGGAGAAAGGGAAGGATTTCAGGTAGGCACAATTTGATTAATTTGACATGAATACCATCTGGACTATTAGAATTGGAATGAGATTTCATCACGGCAGATATGAGGTATGTGGGAGAAATATCTGAAAAATAAAAGTGATAAAAGTGAAAAATAAATGATGTTCCAGGAGTAAAGAAGGAAGATGTTGATGGAGGAATGGAAGAGGAAGCTGATATAAAATATGAATTTAAATCATCAGGCTTAACTGGAAAGACTACTGAGGAAGGAGATTTGGAAGATTCACAGAGGGGATATCATAACAATATGTATATATTTTTAGAAAGAATTTTATAGCATAGCAACTCTTTCGAGCATTATATTAAAGTTGCAAAATAATATTTAGAGAATTGCTCAAAAGCTTATTGGATATCTGCCCAATTTAACGAATTGTTCCGGCAATAATAATTTGAAAAGTACCGCTGTTAAGATAATGTATAATATTGCCGAATATCTATGTTCGCTAACTACATAACTGGGGCAGAAAAGATTAGACGCCTGAGGAGTTAGAGGTTTATCAGAAATTACCAATTTCAGAAGACGAATTGGATAAATTATAGAAGATATTCTGTCAAATAGATCCATTTTTTTTCTTCGCCTACCCCAAACGCCGCAGTAAATTATAATATATATATATATATATGAACAAATGGATATCTTTGTATAGGGACTCATTAAGGGCGCTAATAATCTTTATAACTGAAAAATCTGTATATTGAGTAAAATAAACAAAGAATGCAATTTCGAAATAAAAAAAAAATATCTATAAGAATATATATTTACGAGGGGTTATAACCACACATTTAGTTTAAATAAAAAATATTTGAGAAAGTATTAATGATTTTACATATTAATATTTAATAATATTAATGAATAATATAACTCTTCTCATAGTCAACTTTTTCTTATAAATAACATTAGTTCAATCATTGAAAAGTAAAATTTAAAAAAAATATATAATTTTTAACAGAATGTTTTTCGCAAAAAAGTAACATGATAAATATAAGTTACTAACTTTAAATTAATAATAGAAATTTGAGGCTTCTAACTAAAAGGTGTAGCAAGAATGACAATCACATGAAAAAAATTATTAGAACAGTAACAAATAATCAAGTCCGATAATTGAAACGTCATTGAATATTACTGCTATTATATAATTATCATACCAACTTTTTCCATTTATTTATTTATTTTATTGTTGCATGATCACTGGTCATTGAACTTTTCAAATGGTCATTGATGGTCAAAGGCCATTGAACAAATAATTTTGAATTTTATAAAATTATATTTAATTGTAAAATTTGTTTTCTTAAAAAATTCTATCGATTGCTCATAACTGAGTAACTCTTAAAGCTTAAGACTTTTGGAGGATTATTGAAGATTTCGGTTATTTTCTTGTAACTCAGGAATAATGTGTGTATAAAATCAATTCTAATCATCATTAGACACTGAAGGCAGTGCGAAAGCTCAGTGGATAGAGCAATGACATCAAAAGTTCACGATCTCAGTTTCTAATCCTGCTGATAGTAGGTAATTATTTATTCTGGTTCATATACCATAGACCGACCCTAGTGTCGGAAGATCCTCCTAGGCCACACCCAGCTTCTAGAAATTGGGTTCTCTTTAGATTTTTTTCCCGCCAAATTAGCGATAGAGGACGGATATCTCGGAAACTAAGTGAGTAAGAGAAAAAATATATGTGATCAATCATACTGAAATTTTTGTGGAGCTTAATTTTGTATAGAATTTATTTGTGGATCAATAAAAATATGTTTCAAAATGTTGTGGGATGTCTGCACAGTAAATGTTGAAAAGTGTTGGACCCAAGACACTGCCTTGAGGTACTCCACATTTTATTTGTTTGATGGCAGAAAACTCAGTCCCCATTTTCATACGGAAAAATCTATCTTTTAGATATGATAGTAAAATTAAGTAATACGTCGGAGGAATAATCGTTTTTAATTTATGTAACAAACCATCATCTACAACAAGCCATATTCTATCAAAAGCCTAACTCATGTAAAGAAAAACGCTAGGACAGTACAATTTTGATTCTAGCGAGAAAGATATGTAATCTATAAGGCGGTAACATTGCTGAATAGTCGAATGATGCTCTTTGAAGCCGTACTGGAAATTTGGAATGACATCAAATAGTCTAAGTGAATTTAAACGCCGAAACAGAATTTTTTCGAATACTTTAGATAGAGAAGGTAGAAGACTAATTGGGCGGTAAGAATCAGGACGGTCTATAGGCTTATTGGGTTTGTGAATCATAGTTATGGTTGAGTATTTCTCTAAAATCGGAAAATGTGTCGTTCTCAGAATGGAATTGAATATGTTTGTTAAGAATAATCTTTTGGTAACTTTAGAATATAGTAATGAGATCGACCGGAGATTTTCGATTTGGTAAACTATTTATAATAACGCTAACTTCATTTGGATGAAAAGGTTTAGGTGGGGGGTTCGCCTCTAAAGGAATATCTAATTGATGTTCTACCAATTTTACACTGCGCGAATCTTGCAAATAACTGTGAGGGGTAAATATATTTTCTAAATGGCATGCGAATAATTCACCTTTCTGAGCGTCTAACTTTGCCCACGAGCCATCAGGATATCGAATTGGATGCGATGTCTCTTGATGATTCAACAAGCGTTTTATCATTGACCAAATAGACGTATTGTTATTATCCAAGCTGTTTAGAAGGGTATAAAAATTTTCATTTTTAAATCGCCTGATTTCTTCTCGAAATTCCGTTGTTAGCTGATTAAATTTGGACTTATCTGAAGGATAACGAGTGCGCTGCCACTTCTTACGAGCTTTTCGTTTCTCTTGTAAGAGGTATTTAATTGAATCTGGGATGATATTTTTCATATAACTTATACTGTCTTAATGGACATAAGGAAGAGTTCCAAGCAGATTGTTGTATAGCTTGCGTTAGGGATTGGACTGCATCGTCAACCTCATCTGGAGTCCGCAAGAGGGTGTTCAACGAGATAGATTTTTCTAAAATATCCCTAAATTTTTTTCAATTAATTTGACCTGGCGTAAGCGTCGGTTGTGATTTCAGAATTAGTTCTAGACCAACCGTAAGTAGCAAAGGAGAGTGATCCGATGAAAGGTCAAACAAATTTTCGATGTCAAAGTGCAGCTGGTTGAGCCCTTTACAAATAAAGAAATCTAAAACATCAGGAATTCTATTAAGATCAGTAGGCCAGTATGAATGTTGGTGAAGGAGGTGAAACATGAGAGCAACTGCTAGAGATCATTGCGTTGTGAAGGGTCCTTCCTCCGGAATTAGTCATTCTGCTGCCCCATATTTGGTTTTTAGAATTAAAGTCACCACCGCATAGGAATCTATGACCTAAACTGATGCATATAATTTGAGAATATAAGGTATCGTTCGGTGGGAAATAGACAGTAGCGACAGACAACTCGAACGCAAAAACTTTTAGAACAACGAAGGTACTCTGCAGACACTCACTTGCCTCAGAAGAGTTAAAGTAGTGACTAATAGGCTTTTTAACTAGAATGAGTATGCCACCTTTAGTGCAGTCTGATGGATGGTCAGTCCTGAAAGTGTTGTAAGTTGGTATTGAAAATTTAATTTGACTTCTCAAGTGTGTTTCGGTTAAGAGTGCTACATCTATTTCCTTGTCACTAAGAAATACTTCTAGCTAATTTCTGTGCGCAAGTACGCCATTTGAATTCCATAGAAGGATTTTTAACCATTTCAAGACATAAGCTTGGGCAGGAGGTGCTGCATTAGGGTGGTAAGTAATGAAATTAGTGGAGTCACAAGGTTTTTAAATTCATTAATGAAGTCAGTAAGTTGTGTTGTGGTGTCAGGTTGTTTTGTGTTATGGGGAACAGCATTAGTTAATGATCTGTTTTCAGTTGTAGTGATAATTTGTGGAGAGGTGGTGTGTGTTGTTATAACGTGAGAATACGATGGCATTGTTTGGTCTGTTTGTATTACCTGATGTTGTAGTACAAGAGACAGCGAAGCTGCATTCTTGTGTGGCTCTTCTGATTTCAGACGTCCTTCAGACCTAGCATCAAATCTTAGATTTCTGACCGGTGGGTATTGCCTGTGTTGTTTCAATTCTTTGTGAACAATACAGCCTCTGTAGTTGGCCATATGGGCTTCATTGCAAAGAGCACACTTCGGTGGTACATCTTGAGACTTCTTACAGCTGTCTGAGAGGTGTGAACCTGCGAATTTTACACACCGCGGTTTAAGGTTGCAGTAGGATTTTGTGTGACCATAGGATTGGCATCGTTGAACATTGAACGATTTCGTTTCTGTGTCTGGGTTCCTCAACAACAACTCTCGTGAAATATAAATATTGTAGTGAAAATATTTTATCACAGTTTTCATTTTTTTTTTTTCAGATCAACAAAGAACATGGGAAGTCGTACTTTGGTTCTTGGATGAATAATATTGTGTACTTTTAGAACTGCATAACCTTCTTCCTCTAGTTCTTGTTGGATGGTTCCACAACTAAGATTAGGATGTAGATTTTTTATGGCCACTTGAAATGGTCTATCTTCTTGCAGCTGATACGTGTGATATTGAGCATTTTTTGATTTTAAATATTTAATCATTTTTCTGTATGCATCTGAATCTACTAGTAGCACCACAGTATTATCAAGGTTTGATTTTATTGTAAATTTTTTTACTCCTATTTCTTTTATGAGATCGTCGCAAAACTCTGCAAAATGATACACTGATTTTATATATATTGGAGGCGGTTTGGGTACTATTGTTTTTGCTTGGTCAACAGCATTGACTCAACATCGAAATTTAAGACTATGCATGGGTTCACCGACTCAAAAGTATTTTGTTGTAATGCACAAGATTCACTCCTTGCGGAAAAAGAGTTTTTCCTAGTTACCTCAGTCCATTCATTAACTAAGCTTGTTCCAGGTTCTGAAGTAGATTTCATATTATGGGAAGGTAATTTAACTTCATTAAGTTTTTTAGGAGAGATAACCTCCTTACCTTGTGTTGTGGTTTTCACTTTTGATGTCTTTAAAGAAAGTGTCCCTCTAGGTTTGATATTCGCTTTAGTAATGACCATTGCTTGTGGATTCACTGATTAATGGTCTAATACATGTTCACATTTCGTATCACTTATGAAAATTGTAATAAACGTTTTGATAAAAGTAATGTCCAAACTAACTTTAATAGGGGCTACCTTTTCCCAACACCAAAATGACGAAATAAGATCTTACTTACCCCAGAAAATCGTTAGGATAAAGGTAAGATAGTACCGAATATTTAGTAAAGATTTTTCACAAAACTTTTAGCACTAGATATTTAACAGCTAGCTGTTAAATATCATAATGTATAAACAAGTATAAAAAAAAGTTCGTATTTTTTAAGAATATACCTAAAACAGAAAATAACGTTTAAAGTAATAAACTATGAAATGCTTCTGACTTATTTTTTTTTTGTAAATATTTTCCTGAAACGCGGTTTAAGCTACAATAAATCAATCTGTACCAGCCACATAAACGTTTTAATTAGTTTTCTTCGGAGTTCGTTAAATAAAATACCACCACTTCATATAGTTTCTTTTTTAATATAGATTTTTTTTCTAACCTTTCAACTTTTATTGTCATATTGTATTGAAATAAATGTTGGTAATTATATTTATAAGTTACACATAAATCCTTACATTGCTTTTTGTGGTTTTAAGTAATGTACTTTCGATCAATAGTTTCGCACTTACATTTATTAAGTTTACGTAGCCAACTTGGTTCCACAGCCATAAAGTTATGTCAATATTAAGGGTAACTTAATAACAAAGTGTCCATTACAAAAGTGATCTCCAATGTACTTTAGTTTCTAAAATATTAATTGTGGTATGTTTGGGTGTGTTTTATTAGTATATTATTTTAATTTTGCAGTGGGAAAGATATACTATTAGGCCAAAGGAGTAAAAACGGATATACAACAACAAACATAGAAACTATACACACACACACACACACATAAACACATACATATATACACAGATCACTATTTTCAAAGGAGATGAACTTCCTAGCTAAGTATTTCAATTTTAATGTGCACTTTCATATCGTGTTTGAGAGCATTAATTTAACTTATTTGAGAATATAATGGACTAAAAAATGAGCGTTTAACTGGGGCGTAATATGTGTATATTAAATTTATTATCTTATTATTATTTTTTATGAACATAAACTAAAAAACTTCTGTCGTGTTTATGAGGAAAGTAAGTATCTGCTTTCAAGTTTATAATGAAGTTATTAAAATAAATGAGTTCCTTCTAATTAAATTTAATTAATTGGTTGCGAATTGATGTAGAAAATAAAACAAAATAAATTAACTTGAAAACTTAAAGATATATATAAAAAAAATTCTGTACCACTACTGCCTATGAATAGTCTTGGATTTAGTTTTATGTAAGGAAGTAATGTTTCAAGGACAACTATGTGCGGGTAGGTGATCAAGCCGAAATAACCTAAGGTATTTCCCCTTAATTAATTATCTCATTAAGAGTGCCCACTTTATAGAAGTTGGGTGTGCCCCAGGAAGGTCTTCCAACCCTAGGGTCGATCCATTGTTGATGAAATAGAATAAATAATTAGCTGCAATCAGACAGATTGGAACTCGAGACCTTGAACTTTGGAAGTTAATGCCTTACCCACTGATTTACTCTCTGTTTAAAAACATTTAACTATGAAAAATAAAAAACATCACGGCAAGGTCAGGAAACCGCTTCAGGTGGAACAGACAACTGTTCCGTTAATCACTTTCACTATATCACCACTAGCTGTTCCGAAGAAGTAGCGAAAGTGACATTCGTACCGATTACAGAGCAATCACCTTGCTTGTCTGGTTATAACTGGGTCAATTAGATTATAAGTATAGGAAATGTTCTTATCGGTCTATATATATACAAATTGAACAGACATCCGTAATTGGTAAATTACGAGTATATATGTATTATGAAAATCATGCAAACAAACCTGTTTTAGTGAATCGGATTCAATAATGGGACTGGGAAAAAAACTACTAGTTAAACAACGATAATTATATATACCTGTAGCGAATACAAACCGCCAATTTGAGAAAAAACATCAAATATTCTGATAGAAGTCTTTTTTTTATTAAGTTTCATAAAATTATTAATGCAACTCTCCTGTGGAGATAGAGGATTGGCTAAGCATGCACTCTTAATCATATTTAAACTTAAACTTGTCGTAAAACTATAAAATGAATATCAATCCTTATATCATAATTATTTTGACAGTAATTACCTTGGTTCAAAGTACAAAGCAGTTTCAGTTTCGATTTTGACTGAAATTATTTTAAGATTTTTTTATTATAGTAAATAAACTTCTAATATCCTGTTTCACTTTAAGAGGATTGGGTACTGCAGGCAAAGTGCTATTTTGTTGACAAGCTGTTTTAGGTTTACGATTCTTTACTAAAAACTACTCCTGAGAATTTACTGCATATACCTAAATCTGGGTATTTATTAAAAACAAATTGAGTCTTTACATGCCTTTTTAATTTAACTGTCCTTGCAAGTTATATTTAATTTTAGATTCTAAAAAAATAATTGAAATTTTAATAGATGAGTTAAAATTATGTACGGAAATACGAAAAAAATTGTGATGGATTACAAACAAAATATACCATGGAACTCATTGCAATTTCTCTGGCTAACGGAATGTCAACCTAGAGAAAGGCTTGATATTGATCCAATCAAAGAACTTTCGAAACTTCAACAAATCAGAAAGAATTTGTAACCCCGATTTGAAAAAAAGTATCTTAATGGCTGAAATGAGTATCTTAATGGCCCAAATGCTTAAAGTCGGTGAAATGGCACAAACTGCAGGCATATTTCTCCATCCGTTTCCGCCTTTGTTTGCGAAATTTGGGCAGTTAAACCTTTTAAAAGACTGGTCAATTTTTGGGTTTTATTATTTTTTTCTCACACTTCTTATTTTGTGTCGTTATCCGAATTCTTGATTCAACGGTCGACGTTCGACTCCTCGTTATTTTCAATACTACAATATTTTGTTTCAATTCTACTTCCTTAAAAAAAAAAAAAAAAATAGAATTTTTGGAAACCAAACAATGAAATCACCTTGGTTGATTTCCACACTTTTTAAAATATTTGTACCATTTATTTAGATATTACACAAAGTAACGCTTGGAGTCTTATTTTACTAGATATATTGTTTTATTGTTCCTCACTTGCATGTGGATAACTTTTCACCTTCCCGAACCGTGAAAAATTGTCAGCTATCATTCTGTGCAAAATGATTCAGCCATGCTTGGATGAAACTGCTGATTTTATCCTTTTCATCACTTCTTTGTTGATTTCAGGCTTGAATAATCATTTAATTTTTCTAATTATTTGTTGTTTTTTTTCTACTTCCTGGTTAGTAGTCGTTGTGTAAATAATAGTTGTAGCATACAATTATGTGTAAATATTCTGGACTGTTAATAATATGCCCGATGATATTGAAGTTTATTTAATTTAAAGGTACAACTAAATTTGAGGTCATTTTGAGAACTTATAGTCTTTGAGTATCCACGACCTAAAATTATAACAGCCCCACAAAACAATTTTTGGAGCCGGTATAGCAGAGTGAGCGCGCTATACTAATAGAGAGAACGAGACACTTTATTTTCATATAAAATATAAAATTCAAAATGTTTCTGCCCAATTATGTTGAGTTTCTATATACTCAGCATACTCGTTAATCAGTAGGACAATAAATAATAGATCATAGGATCGAATCCTGCCCCTACTACCCACAACGGCTGGTTCCGCGGAAAGTTAGGCCATGCCCCCTTAATTGGGGGAAGCCTACAAGTTATAACACACTTGTACGAACAGGCTAGAAAAAAATTTTTTTTTTAAACACTAAAATTAAATACAATTAAAACATAACTCAGATCTTGATATATTAAGTAAATAGACAGTGTGTGGCCAGCTACTGCTTTCTTGTGCTTGACACTGTTAATACTGACTATTGCTACCAATTTATGAAATTCATAACTCATTATTATTGTACAAAAACGTCACTAATCTTTAAATAAATAAACATGAATTAGCAGGTTTTGTTAACTTTTTTTTGAATTTCAACTATAGAAGAACGACTGCATATTTTATCTTTAACTTCAATATCGTTCCAATGATGGCAATATGATACCGGCAATTTATTTAAAGAACCATAAATATATAAGTTAAAATTAATTACACAAAAACAATTGTACCGACAAAAATATGTTAGAATAAAAAAAAAAATAAGCAAAACCATATAAATACCTAGTATCATTTTTACCTTCATTCCGTTTTTCATATGATAATCATAGTCACATAACTGAACTTACTAGTAAGTAAAGCAGATGTCAGCTGGATCATACTAAGTTGTGAAAACACATCACATATATATAGGTAAAATTCTCTCTCTGTCTCTATGTCTCAATATATATATATATATATATATATATATATATATATATATATATATATATATATATATATATATATATATATATATATGTGTGTGTGTGTGTGTGTGTGTGTGTGTGTGTGTGTGTGTGTTATTTATATATTTATTTTGGTTTTTGAGCATCTTTAGGTCTCCTCTAAATAATGTTAGAGGGTTTACATTTTGCACATAAACTGAGTTGGTGTTATTTTTTTTGTGTTCGTGTCTCCCACTTCCGTTTTTAAGGCGTTGCGCACATTTACAACTCTGCCAAGTCGAGTTAGGGTGTTGAGGTTTGTATCTAAATAGATTTGATAACGAGATTTGATGTTTTCAATGCCTCGTTCTTTTCTTTTCTACTTATATTATTTAGTTAATTTCAATTTAGAAAAAATGTAATGGAAGAAAGAAATGCATTAGTATATTGATTTTGAAATTCAGTTCGATGTCTTTAGTTATGCAGTAAAATAATCAATTTATCAATAATTAAATAGTTAGTAAAATAATCAATTTATTGTTCTTGTTTTTTTTGCGAATATTCATAAAATGAACTGTGAATACATAAAATCAACCCGTAAAAGTAATAGAAGGATAAAAA